AGAAATTGCCTACATTGTGACATCTGCTAAGTAAAACCAACAATAGTAAATAAAATGGGTAAAATCAACTGTGCTACTATCATCTTATGAATATTACGCCTTTTCGCGGTATTCTGGAAATGTGAAAAATGAGCCTACATTATCCAAACCAATATTTGCGAAGAATTAAATCATTACTTACATATTTTCAGAATAAACTATGCAAATGGTAAATAGCACAGGTTCTTCCCCATCTCTCCACCAGGTGGGCATTTAGCCCAGGGAGTGAAGAATACGTGATCCTGGCAGAGTGGAGGCTCTACTTGCTGTGGTCGCCAAGGATCTTCCTGCCTGTTTTAGCACAGATTTCATCATAACTTTAAAGTGTTTAATATTATAGAAACTCTGCAGTGTATGTGCTATGCATATAGAAATATTTTTTCTACTTGTTAAGAAGCTATGATGCAGTCATGTTGGAAATCTATTTACATTATTCGTGCCATGTTCCCATAATATTGTTGTTACACAGTTATGTACACTCCCAACTACAGGGTGGCTGGTTGGCTGCCTGGCTAAGACACAGCAGAGGTACGCAACTGGGAGCCCAGATTCCTTGTGAGAGATGGAGGGAGCCTGGAGCTTAAAGGGACCAAAGCCATTTTTTTTTTTTTTTTGGCAGATGAAAATTAGGTCAACAATTATATTTACAAATGCTATTTAGATTTCAATCACAAACTTTAATGAAATCACCCAGCTAAGCAGAGACTGTTGAAAATATCAAAAAACAAAAACAAACAAATAAAACACCCAAATAAACAAAAAAGCTTGTAGCTATAGGAGTAGGAAAGAAAAACAAGAAATGGGTGACCCACGAGAGCGGGCAAAAGGTTTTGACAACAGACGCATCCACCATTTTGCAGACTGGGAGCAAGCAGACGTCAACTGTTATTACATACGACAACAACTATAGAACAACCAGCGAGTCATCTCCTGGAGCCAGGCAGAGAACAGAAAAGCTGCCTGAAGCTGAGCTTGCTCAGACCCACTTGGTTCAGGTGCTACCCTCGCAATACTGAGGCTATCTGCTCTGTGGGTCACATGCTTCCATCTTTATCTGGGCTACTGGAGCCTCACTGTATCCCAGGCAGGACAGTCCTAAACAATGTCTGCTTTCCCTGGACTCCCGAATAGGTGTGTGTGAGTGTCTTCCCTTTCCAAGTGCTCAAAGCAATAATATCCTTCCTCCCAAGGCTACCATGAGAAGATATTCTAACATTTAACATTACCAGAATGTTTACCATATATCAAAACTATTTCATGAGGGATTTAACAGACATGAATACATAGTTTGGCACTCCAGATCTGAATGCTGAGCTGATAGTCTCTCATCTCTATACAGCAGAAAAATTCCTTTGCATTGACCATATTATGACTATATAACCATATTAAAGCTACATTTGTTTTTGTTTTTGTTTCTGATTTGTTTTGTTTTTCTTTTTAGATTCACATATGTTAAAAAAACAAATCACTCAGCCTGCATCATGGTGTGTTGTAGGAAAGAGAGGATCTTATTTTCTAGGATGAGCTCTGCTACTAAGTTACTACATGATATTGAGCAAATAAGCTCACTTCTCTGAACCCTGAATTTCGGAGTGTAAAATAAGGGTTAAACTAAACTATGTCTTATGTCATCTGTAGTTGAAAAACTCTGATGCAATTTGAAGCCAATTCTATAAACACCCTATGAAATTATCGTTGTGATTACTATCTTCATTATTTCAGGTTGAAATCTGAAACCTAGTTGTAGGGATCACAATCAAACATTTCAATTTGGCAGTGTTCAGCTGGCCTTTAGCGGTTTATCTGGATGGGCACACATAATGGTTAGAATGTCTGAAGAAGTACACGGAGTATTCTGTGGTTGACTTCGATAAGACAAATGCTATCTGCAGGGTGTGATTCGGATGAGCACACCAGGACACTCAGCCAAACTCAGCTGAACTATCCAAACCCCTTGATTCTGCAAACTGGGTTGCAGATCTTTAGAGAACAGGCTTTCTCACAAGATTGCTGGCACTTTCTCTTCCAATCCCAGCCAGAAAAACAGTAAGAACAGCCTTTCTCATATCATTTTGGCATTTCTGGTCTTGGTCCAGGCTGGAAAATTAAAGTGCAAAAGCACTTAACTGAACATTTCACAAGGTAAAGAAATGTTCAGTTCAAGTTTAGTTTCAAAATGGACAAGGGGTTCTTCTTTTGTTCATTGCATCAAAACCCTAGATAGCAAACAAATTCTATGATTTATCCCTTGCATTCAGAATTATCTACTTGAAGTTCCATGTTAGGAGTCAATTCAGCTCTTTCTGTGCCACTGTAAAGGACTACAAGAAGATATTGCTTAAATGATAGTGTGTTGGTTGATACCATTTGATTCAGATATGTCTACTTCAAACATAGAAAAGAAAAATCACTGATGATTCTAATTAGATAAACAAAATGACTAAGGTTTCAACTTACTATGGCCATCTTGAATACAGATATGTATTGCAACCAATAAACAATTTCTATTTGCTTTTAACTATTTCTTGTCTCTCCCATATTAACACCACCTTTGTCAGATGTCTATGTCATTTCTGTCTTGATTATAGTGTTGGTTTGCCTTATTTTCATTTTCATTTCGGTCATGCACATGTTTAAGACTCACAAGTTCAGCTCCAGAAATGTTCCACACTGCTGAATGACAGATTAGAAGTTTCATTTTGCAGAGCTGATACACTAATTTAGGGAATTGCTATTTCCATTACTGAAATTGTATAAATCACGGTCTTCAACATGTAACCATTAGCCATGATTCTAGACTATTACTTGGCTATTACCTTTGCTGCGGCATTTATTAATTTTCCTTTTTACGTATTAATTTTCCTTTTTCCTACTCCAGAGTGAATGCCTGTCATAAAATTTCTGCTTCAAAATTTCTAGGATAGAATGGAAACTTGCATGATGATGGGAAAAGCAGTGGACACCAAAATCAGTAAACACAAAAGAAAAATAACATTAATAATTTAAACTTTACCAAAATCTAAAATTCTTCAAAAGACACCATTTAGAACTTGGAAAGGCAAACTACTGACTGACAAAATGCACGTAACACAGTATTGTGTCCAGAGTATCAAAAGGATCTCTACAGTTCGATAATTAGACACGCCAGGCATATTGAATGCCTGTAACTCCAGGAGGCTAAGGCAGGAGAAATGCAAGTCTAAGACCAGCCTGGGCAACTTCAGGAGATCCTATCTCAAACTGAAAAATAAAAAGAGCTGTAAATGTAGCTCAGGAGTAGGAGAACTCATGAGCTCAGTCCCCAGTACCACAAAAACAAACAACACCAGAAAATCAACAACAAGAAAAACAATCCAGTGAAAAATAAGCAAAATATTTGGACAAACACTTTTTAAAAGAAGATATACAAATAGCCAATAAGCATATGAGATGTGTTTAAACATAACTGGTCTTCAGAGAAATCCAAATTAAAACCATAATGAGAAACCACCACATCCCCACTAGAATGGCTAAAATTAAAAAGGCCAGCAATAGGAAATACTGATGAGAATGTGGCCCAACTGAAACTTTTATATATTGCTGATGAGAAGGCAAAGTGATGCATCTTTGGAAAACAGTTTAACAATTTTGTGTGAGGTTAAACACAAACATACAACTCAGCAGTCTCACTCTTCAGTAGTTACTCAAGAAAAATGAAAGCATATATTCATACAAACAATTGGGCTTTGATGGTCATCAAAAACCCCAAGTGTTCTTCAACAAGTGAAGACAACAATTATTGTATTTTCATGCAAAGAAATAACACTACCGGGGGCTGGGGATTTAGCTCAGCGGCAAAGCGCCTGCCTGGCAAGCGCAAGGTCGTGAGTTCGGTTCCCAGTACCGGAGAAAAACCAAACAAAACAAAAAAGAAATAACACTACCAATAAAAACAAAAAGAAATAAGCTACTGACATACCTACACTGTGAATGAATCTCAAAATCATTTAGCTGACAGAATACAGACCTTTGCTTTCTAAATAAATAAATAAGCGAACCTATAAATCTGTCTTACTTATTTTCCCCATTGCTGGGACACTGTATCTGACACCTACAATTTAAAGCAGAAGTTTGTTTTGGTTCACAATATGTAGAGGTTTCAGTCCATAACTGGCTGGCTTTAAGGCAGAAGAGAATGGCAGAGAAAAACTGCTCATGATGTGGCAGCAGGAAGCAGAGGGTGATCAAGGGAGGAAGAGGGAGGTAAACTCTTCCAGGCCACGCCCCAAGTGCCCCACCTCCTCATACCAGGCTGAACCTCCTAACATCCCCTTTAGCTCTAAACTCATCAATGGATTAGATCATGCCCCCATGATCCATAATCCAATTGCCTCCCCAAAACCCTGCTTATAGGTGCATGAGGCTTTGGGGGAACAACTAGATATAAATCATAACAATACTGTATAGTTTTATTTGTATAAAATTCCAAGAAAAAGGATCTTACTTAATATGATTAAAATATACAGTGGATGTTTAAATTTTTAAATTTATTACTGTAAAGGACACATTGCCATTAATACCCCTCAGAATAGTCCTCCTTGATTCAAATATAATTAAGCCTGGAAATCTTTTGTGTCTTTACAAGTCATGATCAAAAATAGAGTGAATGCTGCTGCAGAGTGCCATCCAATGGAAAACCAGGCTTTTAAAAATATGATGGTGTGTCCTCATCCACCTTATTCACTGGATCTAGGAACACTGAACTATTGGCTCTTCTTGAAATCAGAATGACCATGAAAGGGAAATATTTCAAATCCATGCAAGTCCTCAAACAGCCAGGAGAGTGCAACTAAAGACACTTAGAAAAGAAGAGTTCTAGAACTGCTTCAGAATGTGGCAAGTACAATAAGCGTGTGTGAGGTAAGAGGGAATATTTTGAGGGGGCTAAGTGACAATGTGTCATTTACTGTAACAAATATTTGGGGAGAAACATCTAAATATTCATGGTATTGTTTGATCACACCACTACAGTAACAGAAAGCAAATCACTACTTTCGTGGAGTGGAGGTATTAGTGGTAAAAAAAAATAGAATAGAGGCTGATATAATAAGTGATAAAAATTTAGGGCTCTGCAATGGTTAACTTTAACGTCAGTGGGCCATTGGGGCCCAGACATTTGACCAGTGGCTGTGAAGAGGTATGCAAGTGTTTCTGGGTGAAATTAGCACTATAGGCAGTAGACGAGTACAGTAGACTTTCCTCCTCAATGTAGGTGGCCTTCATCCAGTCAACTGAAGGCCTGAATTGAACAGAAAGGCTGACTAGTGGGAATTCTGCCTTTCTCGCTGTTTTACAGGGATGTGAGTTTCTCCAGCCCAGCCCTCAGACCAGAACTGATGCCCTATGTTCCATGGACTGCAAATATTGAGCCTTCCCAGCCTCCTTAAGTGTGCGAGTCAGTTCCTTAACATATAAATGCATATTCCATTGGTTCTATTTTTCTGAAGATATTGGTTAATCTGGAAGGGATGAAAAAATTCTGTATTTTGATCTTGGTCGTGATTTGTAGGTGTATATCTTTATCCAAACTCATCTAATTCTATATTTTTGTTGTTATTTTGGGACAAGTTTTTGAATGAACTCACTATGGCCTTGAATTCACTATGTAGCTCAGGTTGCCCTTGAACTCATGGTGATTCTTCTGCCTCAGTGTCTTGAGTACTAGGATAATAGGCATGCTGCACCAGGCCAAGGTAATTCTACATTTAAGATGAGTACACTGGCCAGAGATGGTGATACAAACTTATACTCAGCATTCTGGGAGGCTGAGGCAGAAGAATTACAAATTCAAGCCCAACCTGGGAATCTTAGCAACTTGGCAGACCCTGGCTCAAAACTGAAAAATAATAAAAATAAAAAGGGCTGGAGATATAGCTCACTGTGAAGGCCCTGAGTTCAATTCCCAGTATGATAGATAGATGATACATAGATAGATAGATAGGTAGATAGATAGATAAACAGATAGATAGCATTTACCATCAAATTACACTTCCATAAAGCTCATTTAAAAGACTTTTTGTGACCAAATTCAAAACCCTACCACAGTTTGGCTATTTGGTACTTGTACTATTGGATAAGTTTTAGGAACCCACATGTAATTTTGTCAAGGTTTTATGGTTTTCCCCAGTTCCCACTTTTCACATGAACAGGAAGACTTCCAATGTGTACAGAAAGTGCAGAAAGTAATTTCTTAATTTAACCTGCTCCTCTTCACCTGTTTTCTGCTGCATCGCTGAACACGTGAGACTGGATAATTCATGAAGAATAGAATTATATTTGGTTCATGATTTTTGAGGCTGGGAAGTCATAGTACTGGCATCTGCAGGGCACCTTCTTGATGTATCACGCTGTGTCAGAGAGCATTGCCCAGTGAGAGAGGACAAGTGCACCAGCTCAGATCTCGCCCTCTGCCTGTAAAGTCACTAATGCATCAAGGGCATCCACAGCCTCACGACCTCATCAAATCCTAATCACATTCCTGAACCTCACCTCCAAATACACTAGTGCTCAACTTTGGGGATTAAGTTTCCAACTCAAGATCTTTCAGGAGACTCATTCAAACCCATGAGTGGCCATTGCTCAGTTCCCACAGCAGCCAGATTTTAAAATTATATATGCTTTCTGTGAAATATAGCAGTCAAAACTGACATGTGCTAAAAATATAAAATACATAGCAAATTCTGAAAGCTTAGAACCAAAATAAAAGGAATATAAATTACCACATTAATATTTTTTTACACTGACTACTGTTGAGTTAATATCTTTGATCTACTGAGTGAAATAAAAGTTATAATTCTTTTTAAATCTATATGTGTTTTTCCCTTGCTTAAAGCTCAGTTATATGTGAACTGCATGTGTTATGAGATATAAGAACTTAAGCAGGTTAATATTTTTGAAGTTTGATGTCCTCATCTGTAAAATGGGAAAAATAATATTTAGCTACATGGTCAATATCTATCCACTCAACACTATACTAAGCAATAAAGATTTACTAATAAATTGGTTGATTGTCATGGTTATTCCACACCTGTATATTGGATAAGTTTCAAGAATCCACATTGCCCTTTTAAAAGCTTTCTTCCAAGCATGACCACATTAAATACGGTTTGTAAGGCACATAAATATTTATCTTATTGTCTACACTGACTTCCATCAAACCGAGAAACCAACACAACAGGTCTTTAGTCCTCAAGATGTCTAAATATATGGCCACGGTCAAAATGTTTTAGGCAGGATACAATTTCTCTCTTCACTATTTCATCATTTGTTGCTTCACAAACTTCTCAGACTTTCTCCCCAGATAAAACTAGGTAGACTATTGCTCCACACACATAGCTTGTTCAGTTGTGGTCAAATACGCATAACAAAACTAACCATCTGTATTAGTGTGCAAGGATTGCTATAATACATAACGCAGACTGGGTAGCCTCAAAAATAAATTTGTTTCTCACAGTTCTAGAATTCAGAAGTTTAAGCTCACGGTACAAGTTGGTTTGGTTTCTCCTGGGGCCTCTATGCTTAGCTTATTGTCTGCAACCTTCTCACGGTGTGCACACATGGTCTTTTATTTTGGTGCTCTCCATGTGTCTAAATTTCCTCTTCTGGCACCCACCTGATTGGAGTAGGGCCTAACTCAACAACCTCATCTTAACTTAACCACCTCTGGAAAGGCCCTTCCCCAAACACAGAGGCATTTTTAGCTGCAGCATTGTAGCACATGAAAGTTGAAAGGACATAATTCAGCCAATAACACTATATTAACCCTTTGATAGTTGCAGTTCAGTAGAGTTAAATACATTCACACTGTGCAACCAATTTCCAGAACTCTTTTCATCTTGCTAAACTGAGCATCTATAGCCCTTTTTTTGTTTTGTCTTTTCCTTATCATTGTGTTTCTTTTTCAGTACTGGAGTGTGAACCCCAGACCTTCACACTGAGCTGCATTGCAGCCCATTTTTATACAAGGTTTTACTAGGCCAGTAAATCACCCAGTCTGGGCTGCAATCCTCTTCCCTCAGCCACCCATAGTTCTGGGATTCTTGCTTTGTGGCCTCTTAGAAACACCCACTTCTCTCTCTCTCTCTCTCTCTGACCCAGGCAACCACGCTTCTGCTTTCTGTCACTGTGAATTTGACTACTGTAGGTACCTAATGTAAAAAGAGCGGTGGAGGGCTGCGTTTTTGTGACTGGCTTATTTCACTTAGTGTAGCACTCTCAAGTCCCATCTATGTTGTAGCATGTGTCAGAATCTCTCCTTGCCAGGTGGTCAGGGTTAAAGAAGTCTTTTTGCAAAAGTCACTGGTCCAGACAGACAGCTCTTCTGGGTTGCCATAACTGCCACCCCCTCCTGTGCCCACCTGATTGGGCACCTGTGTCCACCCAGCGACTGTAGCAGTCTTCACCGAAATCAGGGCCCTTTATTCTCTCTTGTTGAGTGCCCAGACCCTGCTCATACTTTCATGACATCATCTTTTCGTGCCAAGACCCTGACTGGTCATATATGCATGTACCTCATCGAAGTTACTGTTGTTGAAGCCGAGTCGTAGCTGCTGGAGGTGACTTACACTGTGTTCTCTCCTTTTCACTGTGTTTGCAATTTTACGAAATGAAAGAGAAAGAGAATATGTAAGAGATGGTGACTCGTTGCAAAGCAATTAGGGTGGCTCCGGGACAGTGAGTGCTTCCCTAGGACCTTGATTCTGCTCGTGGTGACTTGACTTGCTTCTGACCTGTGGTCACAAGCCTGTAGATATGTTGCAGTGTTTTCCTTTCTCTTTTGTGAATTTCTGCATTGTATCTCAGCTATCTCTCCCATGTTCTTAAATTTACTAGCAACTTACCTGATTGCAACTAACCAATTTAGATATACTTCTCTCTGCCCTAAAATACATGCGCCTTGCGATTATCAGGGTCCACTTAACAGAAAATAATAGAGATGATTAATAGTGAAAATACGAATTCTACCTTCAAAATGCCTCCTCCTTTGGCCCTTCCACTAATAATACAAATTTTATCTTGGTATTATGTCCTCTAAGAGAAAAAAATATTTGCTCAATTTTGCACAAAATGAATTGTCTTTGTTCTTAGACATGTACTTCCCATTCTGACTTCAATTAGAACAGGAAAAAAAAGAATGAACGATTTTAAAATACTATTTCCAGGAATATTTTTATTTTACATGCCTAAAGTACATGCACAATAGAAATTATCTTACAGCAATCTTTTTCCTACCAATAGCTTTGGAAATTTTGGAAGAGGACGGACTGACAGCGGTGGGAAGAGTAGGAGTAGCAGGCACAGGAAGACAAATGGAAACAGAAATAAAGATTGATAGAATGACAGACCCTCCAGACTGGTCTTGAAAAGAGCAAGATAGAAACATGCAGAGTCTGATTTTATATAGGTGAGCCTTCTCCTTCTTCCTCATAACCAAATGTTTGCTGCCCGCTTAAGTTCAGGGGCTTTCAACTTCTCTCACATTTTGGGAAATATGTGCTCTTTTCCACTTTCCCTTCTTCTCTGTTAAGTCCTCTAAAGGGTTGGAAACACTGAGAATACTAATCATATGGCAGTTACCTCAGGCTGACTTTGACTATACTAAGGAAACCATTTAAAATGGTCTCTTTATGTTTTTGGTTGTTTACAGAAGAGAAGCCCAACTGTGTATGTTCCCAATTCAATCTAACACCCAGCTAAATACAAATGTTTCCTTAAAATACATTGTCATGTCAGAATATGTAAATACAGAGTTATTATATCTCATGCTTTCCTTCAGATCTCAGCAAAGATATGTTCTGTGAAAACTGAGTTGTCTGTGGTGATTAATTACAATGATCTGGTTTCCCTTAAGAAATATTTATTAGCATTTATTGTGAGCCAAATGCAAGAAGCTGAGAAGGTATTGGTGATCTGTTCATTTTGGGGTTATTGTGCAAGGTGAAACAATATAATACAGGACATATATTTTATATGATTATTCATAATAATCACCCAAAGAACGATCCCCAAAGTGAACCGAAGCCATTCTCAGTGCCAATGAGGTCCCGAGCTCCTTCGAGGATGAAAACAGACAAGTTCATCAGGAAAGCCAGCATGATGAGATCCTCAGAAACAACCAACAACTCCTTACAGCTTCTCTCAGCTCCCAGAAACCTCTTTCTCCTTCTCAAGTTCTACCTCTGATGCTGCTGGCAACAGTCCCCAGGTGGGCCTCCCACACCCAGCACCATGCTTACTCAGTCCAGCTGGGGGTTATAAATTGACCACCAGTTGTCATTCTACCACAAGTGAGCACAATAAAACCCTGATCTCAAGGTATTTGTCATCAGGGAAGAGACAGTTGCCATAGAGAGTCAGTTGCCATGCAGTATGATAACCGTGACCACAAGTATACATGCAGGGTGCTATGGAAAAACGTGAACAGAAGCAAATGCATGGGCTCAGAGAAGGATTTCCAGAAAACGATATGCAATTAGTTGAAAAATAGTCACCAATTAGTTGAAAAATAGTCATTAATATTTACTGTGTGCTTGCTCGATCCCACTCACTAACTATCCATAATAACACTGAAAAGCAAGTCTTTGTCCTACCACCATCACCATCACCATCACCATCATCATCACCACCACTTCCATTCCTAAGGCCCTAGGAAGGCTAAAGAGGGGGAAATGTTGCCAGGGTTCAGGGCAAGCATTCCCTTTTCAGCGCCCATGTGTATGGCTACAACACAAAAGAGCCTCCCCGTGGTTGAGAAAAAGAATTCACACAAGAACAAAGACAGAAGATGTACTCCACTTGAGGACTTGAAAGTACAAAGTTCAGGAGGCTTAGTTAATAGCACAAGTATAACAGAGAAGAGCGAGTAGATGGGGGAAGCAGTCAGGAGTCAAATCCTGAAGGACTGAGTATACCTCATTGAGGAGAGCACAAGAGCATCAACAGGGAAATCAGGGCAGATTCACACTGAAAAATAAACTGAATGAAGCAAGAAGATTCATTAGAAAAACAGTGCAGTAATCCAGGAGAGGGATGATGGGGACCTGAAGGGGGGTGATAGTAAGGGGAGCACCAGAGATGTTTAGGAGGGAGAACAGGTGGAAGCAGGTGGTGGGTTGGCTGCAGGTGCTGAGAGATAAAAAAGCTGGAAGGACTGTGCTTCATCTCTTGCCCTAGGATGGATAATGTACTGTCCATAGGAAGTGAACCCGGAGCATGAGGTAGAGAGTACAGAGAAAGAAGCTCCTGAGCTTTGTTGGCGATGTGCCGATTCTGAGTGGCCATAGAAGATCCACGCAGAATGGTCCAGCAGACCTTCAGTTCTGACCGTCAAGAATGAGAGCTGTGCTAGAGAACACTCATTTGGGAATTACTGGTCTTCAAGCCAAGGTTGTGAATGAATGGGCCCAAGGAACGTGGATAGAGCAAGAATAAAAAAGCAGAAGATGCGAATCAGAACCCACTAGCATCACTCTCTAAAGGCCATATCACCCCCAAGTCATACTGACAAATCACCATCAGAAAACATCCCAAAATGTTTGGCCACAGAAGCTCAGAGGAAAGGGCAGATCTGAGATGTTTGGTGCAAATCATCACACTGAGCTATAATTTTCTTCCACTCCAGTACAACAAACAAACAAACAAAATATCATTCTCAGAACTCACAGAATATGCAAGGACTGATCAAAAACTACAGTGAGTGTTGAAATGTTTACAATGTGTTATAGTAAAGGACACATTGCCTTTAGTCCCCACTGAAATCCTGCCCCGCATTTTAGATGCACTTAGCCTGCTGTTCTTGCCACTTTCCAAAATAGTTGTGGAGGTCCTTGTTCATGGGAATATTTATGAGATGCAGTTAAAAATATGGTAAATGTTGATGCCACGTGCCATCTGACAGAAAGCCTGGCTCATAAAAATATTTCGGGTGTCTTCTTCTACCTTACTCATCAGATCTGACCTCATGTGATGCCTGGCTCTTTCCCACATCAAAATAATCACAAACAAAGAGTATTTCAAGTTGATTCAGGACATAGAGGCGGCTACAATAGCGCAACTAAAGACTCAAAAGAGAACTTCCAGAACTGCTTCAGAAGGGGGCAGGAACAATAGAATGTGTTTGAAGAGAGGCGGGTATTCTGAGGGTGATTAATGCCAAAGTCTTTTACTGGTGATTTTTTAAAAATTTACAATTACACCATAGTTTTGATCACACCCTATATAGGCTTAAAATATTTCATTATAACTTATCCATTTTTCAATTATTCTTTTACCAGATATTTTATGAATTATATTTGGCTCTAGGAAGATGCCTCCTGATCTTCAGTTGGTGATACCTGCACCTTTGTTAATAATAGCTTTTAGACTTCTACATTGCTACTAAGATTAAGTCAACTTAAAAGAAAGTAGTAAGTCAGTTCTTTTTTTTTTTTTTTTGTCTTTTTCTGAAACAGGGTCTCGCTGCACAGTTCAGGCTGGCCTTGGGCTCACTTTGTAGCCTAGGCTGGTCTCGAACTCGCAATGATCCACCTGCCTCAGCCTCCCAAGTGCTGGGATTACAGGCGTGCACCACCAGTTCTAAACTTTATATTTTCACAGTGGCATTTAATTCAAAATTTAATTTCAAAAGCATAACAGAAATAATCTGTTGTACATTTTATATAGAGTGATTATTATGTTATTTGAAACTGCAGAAGAATATTAATGTTGGTTTATACAGATGTTAGTGTTTTTTCATTGTATTACTGATATTACATATTTTAGTCCTGAAGGATGACTGATTAGATTTAATTATGCAAATTAAATTTTTAACACTTCAAATTTTCTAAAAATGGAGCTACTCTAGTAGTTTGATGTGGAAGGGTCTGGTTGACAATTCTGCCATTCAGTTACTGAATGTTAAGCCATTCTGTTGAGGTACATGCTATGCTAAAAATAGAAATATCAAACTGACTCAATACACACACCCATCCTCAGCTGCCATAGAATAACCCAGTGACTGCTCCATGCCAAAAGAATAGTAGCGATGAACATTTTCAATTATTAAAAATATTTTCACTCTTTGCAAAATTATTAGTATTTGTATTTTGTAAATGTGTCAAGCATAACAATCATCTTATTCATGAAAGCATATTGAAAGGGTGAGCATAAGCTTATCAATTTGTCAAAACATGATGGTAATATAGAAATGAGTGGCTGGAAAATCAGGTTCAGTCATGGATGGTGGCTCCCTGAGCATCTGGGGGAACCCTGGTGGAATCAGGAAAAGATACATGTGGAAAGGCCAGAAGACCCTAAAAAGATGATTTACCTCATCTCTTCTTTTTCTACTTTTATTTGTTCTTTAGTTTATTTTTTCTTGTCAAAGACATATATTTTAGCTTACTGAACTAAGGGGCAATCTGTAGAGATGAGCGGGAACCTTACTGCAAACAGAGAAATGGAAAATAGTCAAAAAACTTGTGGTCAAATCTGAGAAAAGAGAGATAACAGAGACACTGGCAGGCTGCATGAGATAGTGAAGACGTTCTGTAGGAAGGCAGAATATCATTGGGTCACAGTATAAGGACCGATTATATTTACGGTAAATTTAAACCTGTTTTAGTTGTGTGTCTTTAAATTCGTGAATATTTCTGTAATAAAACCACAGCCCATTTTGGTGCTGTAGTTCCTAATCTTCCTTCATTCTGCTTTTCTCTTTCAAACTTATGCCTTCTTTTAGCCCTGATCTCTCTGTGACAGCAGCTTGTAAATTTCTAGCTCTCTCCATTCACATTTGCCACCCACCCTGCCATCAACACCTCACTCACAGATCCTTGGGTTTCCAGATCTGACCTGGCATAACCTTGAAGCCGCCTTCCATGATTGACAGCAGTTGCATTTATAGTATTATTTCTCGGAGAGAGGAAAAGACTAGAAGATTTGTAGTAGCAACTGCCAAGGAATTTTATGTAAAGAATTGTGGGTTACAGGAGCTTTTCTGACTTGTTCAGGACCCAGAATTCAGGTCATTCCTAATACACATAAGCCACACAGCGTTCTGTGACCTCTCTGGGTTTTGGGTTTGGGGATCTGAGTTTTCTCTAGCTCTGCTAGGCGGATTGGTGTTGTTTCATGTGGGTGGTGATGGTGGGAGAAGGAGGCTGGAGAGGAATCCACAGTTTTAAATCCACTCACCTGCTTCTCCCCCCCATTCAGACTTTATTGCCTCCCCTGTCCCTCTCCCCTCAGCTTACAAATCCTCCTTTTGTTCTAGTGTTCTTATTCATCTCCCACCCCTTCCCAAACACCAAAAGGGAAGAAGCAAGGTCAGACTTAGCGGGGAAACTGTTCTGGTTCCAACACAAAAAGACACACACAGACATCTGAACCTGTAATGTTTAAATCAAACTATCATACAGGAAAAGAATTTACCTCCTTCTGCTATTTCAAGCGGAACAGAAATCACTGAAATTCAGCCTTTCTCAAACTCAGTTTGTTATCATTAGCATTACCCATGATATCAAATTGGCTTTAAGCATGACTAAGTGTTGCAACTGATCGCTTGTATTTTCAAGTATCCCGTTGACAGACTAATGCTGGCCTTTTGGTAGTGCAAAGAGCAGAGCCTACATCTGGGTGAGTACAAGTATTTTAGGTTACTCTCTTATAAAATAAACATTTGACTGACAGCTCAGATTTGATCGTATGTATGCCCTAAACTCTACTCGAAGGCTGACATAAATTTTTTAACTGCTGTTTGACTAGGACCACACATTCCTATAGTTTCTTTTTCTTTCTTGTCTTTCTCTGTAAAATCAGGAATACCAGCGACTACATCCACAGACTGCAAGCAGGGCTCCTGCTCGGTGATTAATGAGAGTCTGAAGGAGAAACTGGATTCTCCGAGGGGTGCTATTTTGTATTAACAAGGCAAAATGCCAAGGTAAGAAGTAAAATTGTTTTCCTCAGCACCAAAATATGTCACAATCCAGAAAAAGAAAAATGTTTTTGTTTTTCTATTTAAGATTTTCCCCTTAAACTTTTAAGTACTTTCCTTTCTCATTATATTTTCTCCTGTATTTCTTGCTTTATCTACCAAATGAGAGAAAGAACGTGTGTGTGTGTGTGTGTGTGTGTGTGTGTGTGTGTGTGTGTGTGTAACAGACAGAGACAGAGACAGAGTCAGAGAGAGAGAAGGGGCAAGGGAAGGAACGAACACAGACATGAACCAAGACAGAAATGGAGCGTCAGAAGGTCACTGGAAATAGAAAAGGATTTCTTAAGGGATTTTACACATTGCTTTCATGGGTTAAATTGCTCTTGCCACTCCTAGACAATAATTCCTTTCACATAAGGATACTTTGGATCCTTTGCTGCATATACTATTTACACTGAGCCTTTTACATTTCTACTCTGTGGTTCTATTTCTGGACTGGTGAAGTATTCCATTTCTGCTTACATCTCTTGTGTTTTGGCGAGTCTTTCAGGAGAACTATGAAGTCGGCTCACCTGACTGAAATTTTTTTCCCTTCATTTTTCCCCTTCTCAGTCTCTCTTGGGGGTCCACCATTTTGTCCCCATCACTGGCAAGGTGCAAGTGTGGCTGGGACTGAGGAGATGATTTGGCCGCCAGAGTGATTCCAAGGATCCATTCTTGCACATTTGGTTCTGTAAATGAAAGTCCTGCAGTCGGACCAATAGCAGGGAAGATGAGTAGACTTGTCCAGGGCAAAGCTGGTACAAAGTTTCAGATAAAAGTTCCAAATTCATCATCTCCCTTACTCTAAAGTAGAAAAGGAACACCATGAAAAGAATTTGCAGGGTTTTTAGAAATCTTGTTAAGAGATCCTTCTCCTCTCTATAAGAAAAAAAAACACATGTGCATAGTTAGAGGAAGAAGAAGGTTCTCCGTTTTGAGGGGTATTCACAACAGATATTACTAATGTTTGCAGAAGACATTGTAAATGCTTAGTTGCAAGAAAGTTTGAAAGTTCCCACTTGAATTATTGCAGAACAGGAAACAGCAACAGGTTGGCTGAAAGCTGAAAAGGAGCCCCTTTCCATCAGTCAATCTGAGATTGTCTTGCAATATTGTCTATTAATACATTTTCACTGTTCGTACCATTTACACATGCCTCCACAAAAACTATATTTTTAAGGCTCTTTGGGGAAAATCATTGGATGGAAACAGCAAAAGAGGAGGTCGCTGCCATGCAGTAAGCAATGGAAGCATCAGGTTCCCTCTGAGGAAGCATAGTATGCTTTGTGCTTTTTCTGGATTTTGTGCAGTTCTGTTCTGATTCTGTATTTCATTAGACAAGAAGCCAAAAAAGAAGAGAAAAGTGTTCACTGGTTAGGCTGCACTGGAGCAATTTCACTTTTTCATATGTGACAAGTAGTATTTCAACTTCAACAGAAAGGATCTTTTACTGCTACATGGATTAAAACTATTTCCCAAGTTTTTGGTGAAATCATTCTACTTTAAAAAGAATCAAAACAGCTTAATTAAATCATTGAACTTTTTTAAGCTCAAAAATTGAACACCTGAAGATTTTTAAGAACCAGGGTCTTCAACTGTTGTCTAATATGGTAAGCATTTTATATTAAATATGAATTATCAAACATGGGAGTCATTTTTAACTGACAGCTATACTTAAAACTTCAATTTGTCAAATGCTGTGAGATGTAGTAACTTGTTTACTAGATATATATTTTCAAGGCCAGTTTGATACATTTTATTTCTTATCACACCCATAGAATTGTGAAAACATTTTAGAATGTTTAGGGAAAAATTTACTATATGGAATTACCCAGGTACAATACTTGAACTCAAAATTGACTAATTCCATGTGTATAGCTACTTCAAAAAGTCCAATTTTCCTCATTATTATATTAAGAGTTTTCTTATTGACATTCAATATAATTATCACATTGTGTTTAGAAAAACTAAAACATTAAAAATAGCATTAGAGAGTAGGAAGTAAATCACTTGGCAGATTTTTCTAGTCTGGGTTTGGACAGTTGGCATTAGAAATAAGCATTTCTAATCTATCTCATCTTGTTTGAAAATTATCAGGATATGTTGCTTTAAACACCAAACTCTGATATTTAGGAATTTTCAGATTGTGACTAGACTTTTCGTCTTACAACAGACTAGAAACACATTTGTTTATTCTATCCAACTCATAGGCAAAATAATGAAAGATATCAGATATACCATCAGATTTACCCCTATTAAATATCAGCCTTGTCATTATCTGCTTCACCATATACTTCCCCATGGACTGTACCACCTACACCTGGGTATCCTGTTTGGTAAACGCCACTACCACTTCCCCTCTTGATACTCCTCAATGTTTAATTTGTAAATATCTCACCAAAATATTCAGATTCTGATAAATCATTCACATCATACATGCCTGTGAAATTAACTCTCAACATCATTCTGGATTTCAATATCATACATGTTTTAAAATATATGTTTCAGTGTATTGAAAGTATCTTCCAGAGATGCCAAGTATACTTGGTTATGTTTCTTTTCCAAGTTTATCACAGCTTAATGTTCCTTTTGAACAAATCTGATGTCTCCCATAAATCCATGGGCAGTAATCCTTCAATAGCCCATTTCTTGCACCCCTTAAAGTTTTCTTTCTTTATTATGACTACCACAGTACAAAGAGAAGTGTCAAATGCCTACATTAATTTGGTATGGGTCATATGTGTATCTTATAGAGTTTTCTATAAGAAAGATTTAAATTGAACAATTCAGCCCTTGTAGAACATAAACATGGTATGTATATATTTATCACCAGAGAATGTAATTATTTTATACAAATTGCAATTAACCACCCTCTGGCAATTTTCCAAAATAATTCTTAGTCTTCTGTAACAATGGTGACCAAATTTTTAAATCTACTATTCAGACCTCTTAATTGGAATTGTTGACTTTTTAAAATTATTCTTTACTCTCCATGGACATGGCTATTCTTGTGACATCTCTAGTACTATCTAGCTGGATAAATTCTAATTCTTTATGTGTCTCATTAGAGACAAAACTCAGTGAGAAGTCAGTTTTATTCATTTTGCTCCCTTCATTTAAAAGTGGGTCTGTTTTCCTCCACAATATTTCTCTCAAATTTGTGCATTGTATAGATTCATCTTTTCCCTCCAGCACTTTTTCTAGGAGCCACTCCTATTTTTCCATGCTCTTATCTGTATGTCTTAGACACATATATATTTAAATTTTTGTCCTTTACACTCCTCGTGTACTTTTCCCTTGGATGCGGTTATATAAGCTTTCTTCTATGAGAACATATTGAGTGTTTTATTTTTACAATATAAAAAAAGAGGTCCATGGATGGGTTTCCAGAGGTCCAGAAGCACTCTGAAAGTTTATGCAAAACCTGTCTATGTGCATCTGTGGAGAAAATCCATTAGATCTAAAAACTCTCTGAGGGATTTGAAAGACAAAAGAACATAGCCTGGCTGGTCCTGAGCACCCCCACAACCCCATGCATATACAAGCACCCTACATCCGCACTCCCACACAGCTCCCCCGACCAGCCCTGCTGGTCTGCTCCCTCCAGGTGGTGGTTACGTTTCCTCAGTAAGAACAGGGAAGAGATTGACCCAGAAAGATACCTTCTGTCATACAAATGTTGAGGTTTAACAAGTTTCACGTTCCCAGATGGATCCAATCCACCCAACCTTTCACTGCCTGCTTCTTTTCCATGAACGAGGACCAGCCCCACTTTTGGAGCCAGGGCAAGGAGAGATGGTTTGGAGAGCTGCGGAATAGAAGACAAATGAGGTTTCTTACTCTTGAAACTACTAAAAAATTATATAGAGTTTCTTTATTACTGTGCTCTATAGTATTGTGATCTAAACAGGCTATGGCCAACTGACCTAAGAGACCTCCCTTGGTTATTTTAAAGGAAAATGTACAATAAATTCCAATCTGATTCTTGGTTGCACCTTGTATATATAAATCATTCTGAGAAAAAGCCAAAAAACATTTTTCTTTCTTGGTTGTAGCCTTTCCTTTTGAAAAGCATCATGCAGCTATTCCAACTCTAACCTCTAAGCCAAAACTTTCTTTGGTTTCCAGCCCTATACATGCAACTGTGCAGCATTTTCCCGGCCTGGGCACTGACAAGCCCCATTTCCCCCTTACATGCCTGTCCTGCCCATTCTACTTGGAAAAGGGTTCTCATTCATTTTTGTTTCTGTGTAGCATTATGCAGAGTCTGTGTTAGAATTCTGTTCAACTTGTTGAGCACAGAAATCATTGTAATTAATTTTTAAATCAGTTTGTATTTGTCATCATTTTCTGTAAGGTAACACTTTTACTTATGCAACCTAACTTGTTTACAAAATAAGACATACAGATAGACTCGGGACCCAGACTGCCCATCTGTTAATGGGTTTTAATAGTTTTTGTAACACAGTTTTACTAAATTCATACACAATGAGCAGAAAATATGAATATGACCATAAATGTCTAACCTTGGGTCTACTTTAATTACCAGCATCTTAAAATTATGCCATTTCCAACTTAGCTTCTGGAGCCTAAAAAAGAACGCTGATAAAAGACATCCCCATTTTCAAAGTGAAGTAGTAGTGTATTCCCCCTACCTGACATGCAAAAGCAGCTAAAGCCAATTTTGTGACCCTTAACCCAAGAGGTAACGAAGCCTTAAAAAGTTGGAGATTGAAGAACCCATTAAGAATCCTGTCTCCAGGGGCTGGGGATTTAGCTCAGTGGCAAAAGTGCCTGCCTGGCAAGCGCAAGGTCGTGAGTTTGGTTCCCGGTACCAGAGAAAAACCAAAACAAACAAACAAAAAAAAGAATCCTGTCTCCAGAGAAGGTGTCTAAGAGCTATGACATTTTCCTCCCACTGCCCGGGAGTAAAGAGGGGAAGCTGCTCTCTGCTTGCCTCAAGTTAGAGGGAGGAGCATGGCTTGTCTCCCTGAGGTTAGGGACCCAGTGATCTCGTAACTGAACCACACGGAGAAAGAATCTACATGAGAGAAAATAGCTGAAGTGACCGATGGCAGCTGAAAAAGAAAGCTTTGTGCAGTAAATGATAGGGACAAAACAAGGGTAAAGGCAAGCAGGTGTGTTTCTCATGACGAAATGTTGGCCATACAGAGGAGAAAACTGAAGCCATTCTAAATCTTGCTCAAGGAAACTGCATGAAAGGGTGATGTGACTCTCTCACTTGTGAAGCAGATGGACTACTGCATGTCCTGAGATGGAGGAAAGAATAAAATAGTCAGCGGGAGGACAGAAAATACATCATGCATGTCACCGGAAGTTTACTTCCAGGAACCCGGTAGGATGAGTTTCAGAGACTCATAAAACACCCCTTTGTAAAACAGCCTTAAACAACCACCAAAACCAGAAAACCTGGAAGCAGACCATAGTATTTTCTGTCTCTCCCCTCTCTTGACTCTCCCTCTCAACCTTGGAAGAAGCATAGGCAGCAGAATGGGGAAGGCAGACAAGAAGAAATTCAATATAAGAAGAAAGTTGTTCTCCTGCCTGCTCCTGAAGGCTTCCAGTCAGAGCAGCCAGGCTGGAGGAAGGGAGAAGCCTTAATCTGATATGCAGTGTAAAGTTTTGCCATTACAGGATTTAAAACAGGAATTTGCTTTGTGACTAAAGGTACTAATTTTCTGAGAGTTACTGGGGATATCATGGAACCTACCAAATATTTCATCCAAAGGGCGGAGAAGATCTATACACACACACACACACACACACACACCTGAAGCAGGTTGGAATGGATAGAGGGACAGAGAAGCACTTTTCAGCTTCATCATGCATTCTGTGGACTCCTGTTGTTTTGACAAAATTCTCAAAATGAATCTAAAAGTATTCTTAGAAATCCAGGGGCTTGGGATTTAGCTCAGCGGCAAAGCGCCTGCCTGGCAAG